GGGAGGGTGGAGGGCAGGCACAGGAGGGGAAGGCCCTCTAGGAGATGGATTGATTCGGTGACTGGGGCAGTTGCAATGAGTGTGTCGGAGACAGTGAGATTGGCACAGGACAGAGCAGAGTTTAGAGCTGTTGTTTGAATTATTGCAGTATAGGTTAAACACTCAGAGGAGAAGTAAAAAAATGAAGTTGTATGCAATTAATGCCTCAAATACATTTTATCTGTAATACAATTTACCTTCTCTTCAACTTGTTTCTCCACTCCAACTCCCCTGTTTCTCTGAGGAACTATTAGACTTTATTTTCCCAATTGCCTTTGTCTTAGCTTAGGTTTACATAGGAACAAAACCAGTGATATATATGTTGTTGTTATTGTTGTGTGCCATCGAATCAGAACCAACCCATAGCTGACCCTCCAGTGGGTTTTCAGAGACAGTAAATGGCGTGGGAGGAGAGTGTCCATCCTTCTCCCACAGACCATGCACAGCTCCTTATGACTAGGCCACCAGAGCTCATGTCTCATATGAGGTAGAGACAGACATAGAGACAGAAAGACAGACTGAGAATATTTTAATGAATGGCTAATACAGGTGTAGGGTAAGGCTGGCGACTTCCAAATGTTTGAGTTGGGTCAGAGGCTTCTGAGTTTTCATGGTTGTAAGGGCTGAAGAGTTCAACACTAGCAAGTCACAAAATTGTCATACTGCTGGCTCATGGGTGTGTGAGAGCTGGCAAATCCCCAAATCTGCAGGTCATGTGACAAGTTGCTGGCTCACGTCCCACAAACCACAGAGGTCAGAGGATGATGACTCGAGTGCAGAATTGAGAAAGAGCACACTTTGTCAGAGAAGCTGTATATATATTAGATATAGGCCACACCCCACAGACACTCCCTTTTAACTGATTGACTATTCACACCAGACCACAAAATGGGGAATGATAATTTAATCTATGTAGAAAACCTGAAAATTAAGGCCTAGCCAAGTTGACATATAACTTTAACTATCATAGTCCACATTTGTTAACTTACCATCTGTGCATTATCTCCTTCAACCATGCCTAATCTAAATAAAGATAATTAGAAGATTATATTGTTACCTAACATTATATAGCAAATATGCATACAACTTGAAATACAGTAATACTCATGAAATGGAATAAGGATGGGGAAAAAACAGATGCCGCTTGCTCTCTCACTGTCTCACACACAGACACTTCTCCTCACTTAAACACTATCGTCCTCCAAGATCTGTCTGTCCTCACATCCCAGTAGGTAAGCATAATGAAGATGTGCCAGAATCACCACCACCTCTGCAGGCCTCAGCCCTTCACTGGGGTGCTGGTCTCTGCACTCCAGGGAGGCAGTGATGGGTCTGGTGTACTCTTTCCTTCGGTATTGCTTGTTGCAGTTCTGATACTTTTTTCTTGGCTTGTCCTGCCACGACAGCGCTTATTCCACATGCCAGGTATTCAGTATGGAAGTTCTTATGGAAGTTATTGAGAATGTGTATTCTGAAATTGAAGAAATCACTACAAGATAGGTTTGGGACCTGTGGTTTCATTGTAAAATGGACCTAAGACTCCTTACACTTCCATTGGTCTCTTGAAGTTAGTGTCAATTTAAAAGTCAAGTAATTCCTGAAAAACAAAGGAATAGTCACTCTTAAAAAAAGTCCCCAAGTCACTTTGGGACAGTTGAGAGAAAGTAAAGGTTATACTTAGTTCTCCTTGCTTAACCCGCTTCGTGTTTGTTGATAAGCGCTACCACTTGGTAGTCATGGCAGTTTCCACAATTAAATATGATTTACAGAAAATAACAGCCACAGTAGTCTTTGAGGATGCTAGGGCTCCCTTCACAAATTTCTTTCTCACTATTGTTGTAAAAGAGGTGTCTTCTGAGTAGTCCATGAGTGGGGCCAATATGATCAATTCATTCTAACATACCATTTACTCTAAGCAAGCCTTTTTTGTGCCTCCTTCTGTAGTATTCCACATGAGGTCTGACATTTCATCTTGATTACATCTTGACTACCATGTAATTTATGTGGCATTAAAACAAACAAATAACCTATTACTTTTGTACTGTACCTGACCTTTTGACCTGAAACATTGAATGAAGACTCAGGGGGTTTTTGTTGTTACAATTGTTATATACCACTGAACCAGCTATGACTCATAATAGTCCTGTGAACCACATATCTGAATCTTGCCTGTCCTTTGCCATCCCAGTGATCTCTAACATATTATTGGCTTTGGATTACATTGTGTCGATCCATTTTGTTAAAAGTCTTCCTCTTTTTCTCTGACCCTCTAACTGTTCCCATAATGCTGTCCTTTTATTAGGACTGGTCCCTCCTGATAACATATCAAAAGTGTGTGAGAGGACAGTTCACCTTCTTTGGCTTTAAGGAGCAGCCGGCTGTACTTCCCCAAGTTCAGTCTCTTTGTTCTTTTGGCAGTCTGTGGAATAGTCTAGTTAGTACTTTGCCAGCACAACAATTCAAAAGCATAATTAAAAAAAAAGAAACCTCTGCTTAGTGGATGCTAAATATTCATAAACTCAGAGTGATCCAGTTTTATGCTCATTGCACTATTATCCCACATCCTTCATAGCCATTTCTATTTCCATCTCCCAGGTTCCTATTTGTATATATTAGGAAAATCAAGTAGTCCTTTTCAAGTGTGGTGTATCTCTTCCTTAAAGTCACACCTAGTACTTTATCATTTAGGCCTTGTTAGAACATAAATCTAGTTACAGATCATGAAGCAAAAACTACCTGAGGCTGGGGCCATTCAGCAAGTATCTGCCTCAGGTGATTCCCAGGCCAAGAGCCAGGGGGGTACCTTAGGCAGAGATTCTTCAGGTACAACCAAATCAGTAGCATCAGATGAGGGTGGAAGGGATCCTGATGTTACTGGGAAATGTGACTTATTGAACAAAGATACACTTATCTCTTCTGAGGGCTGATTCTACTGGTAGGAATGATTCAATAGCATTCAAGAGCTCAGTGTTCCCAGTTTCCCCATTATCTTCTCCCATGCACATTTTCCTGTTTCTTCCGATTCACTACTTTCAGTTTAATTTCAGACAATATTCCAAGCTAGAAATTCAATTAACATTGTAATCCAGCCACTCTTAGAATTAGAGTCTGATTTAGTTTTTGGCATTAGCAGTTTTGTTTACCCCAGGAAATAAGACTTCATTTCACAGCACAGTCATGGCTTCCAAGTCAAGTATGTGACACTTGACCTGCTACTCTGAAGCTTGGCCTCATCTCTTTCTTCCACCACATTGTGTAGTCAAAGTAGGATAAACTGGTCCACTTTACATTTCTCATTCCATCAGAATTGTACGAAAGCATCAAAATACAATTTTGATTGTGAGAGCCTTATCTCTCACAAGTAATTGGTCTGTTTCTGTTAGACTGCTTCATACCAGATATTAGTCGTGTCTGTTTACTTTTGGATACAATCATTAGCACCATTAAAATTAGTCATTAGCACCTTTAACTTTAGAATGATACCAAATTCAGGGGAAGAAGAAAAGATGTCTTTCAAGGAAATGAGCAGATTTCAGGCTGGAGCTTTCTTCCAACTCATATGGCTGTAAGGACTGACAAAACAAAAATTAGCAGGCCAGGTGTGGATGGCTGTTCATGGAGTAGCAGGAGCCAGTAAGTCCCCAAATTTGCATCTCATGTATGAGGGTGCTAGTTCTCTTTCCAAAATCTAAACACCATTGGATGACAATTGAGATGCAAGAGAAAGAATGAACTTTGCCAGAATACTCATAAATGGGGGCTATTGGATATACCCCTCAAGAAATCTCCCCTTTCAACTGATTAACTGCTCATATCAGATCACAAAATGGAGGATGATTATATAATACCAACATTAGCCAAGGTGACACATAAATTAACCATTACATAATTTATTTTCACCTTTGTTTCCTGCCTTACTCAGTGACACTGGTAAATATTTAACAGTGTATTCTGTGGATGGAAGAATGGAACCTCAATATGCATGTTTAGAGACTTCTGCAGAGTAAATGCTCCTATGGGTAGTTACAGTTTGTGGCTACTTTTGTTGCACCAACAGCAGAGAAGGCGAGTGTTTGCAACAGAGATGTATGGCCTGCATATACTATCTGACATTTTATAGAAAAAGTTTTCAAATCTCTGCTACAATGTCTTCAAAATAATAAAAAAATTAATGTACTGAGATAACAGTACTTCTGTTACCTTCTAGCCATAAATATGCAGGGGAAACTGTTTAGTTTAAGGCAACAATGTGTGAGATTATAAAGGATTTTGAGGCTCATCTATGAATTTAGGATTTTTGTTCAAGTGAGTTGGAAGAGTGAGATATTCTAACATATTTAAAAAGGAAAGTCTTGTCTACTTTTTTGAAAATAGATCGTAAGATAGAAACAGAAATATTAGTTTGGAGGTAATTGTCACAATCCAGGTAACAGCCAATCTTTACTTAGATTTATCAGGGTAGACTACCTTGAAGTAGTGAGTAATTTCTAATTCTAGATGCGTTTTGAAGATAAAACTAACAAGATTTGCTAATGGAAAGAGAAGAGTCAAGGAGAAGAGTAAAATAACAGTTAAGGAATAGTGGAAAAAAGTTGCCTTCGGCTTATAGTTCCTATTTATTTTACCTTCTTCTTAAACATATATATTCCAGGAAAAAAAGGTTGTTTGAAATCAAATTTCCTTGGGTTTTTAAGGAGTAGGTGTTAAAATAAATGTAGGAAAATACAGTAATGTTTCTAAAATGTGGCATTTTTTTAAAAAAGAGAATAACACAATCTGTTTTGAATAGAACTTTTAAATCTGTGATTTGGTAAGATTTTGTTTGTTTGCTTTTAAATCTGTTATTAAATCTCATTGGTAGGTCAATTCTAAGTGCTTCCCTAAACCCTCAAAGTTTAGGTTGGGGGAAGAAAGTTAATAATTGATGTTTCATTACTTTGTTATTCCTATCTTTTGCATAGGTTTTACTTGTAATGGACACAAGAACGGAACAGACATTTATCTTAAAAGTAAGTGGAATATATATGTTTGAAAAATTTAAATGTTTTATTTAAAAATATATTTCTGAAAGAAAATATTTTCTTTTTCTCTGAATACTTTGCCTCTTCTCTTATACATGGGTTGTTGTTAAGTGCTGTTGAGTCAAGTACAACTCATAGCGACCCTGTGAACAAAAGACCAGAACCCTCTTATGTAACTATCATTGTTTTCTATGTTCATAGAGTTTCCAGAGGTATGTGGTTTAGGAAGTGGATGCTACTCCTGCTTCCAGACCTGATCAATCTGGGAGCTCCACCAAACACTGTCCATGTTGGGTAACCATTATAATGTTTGACACACCTATGGCACAACACTCAGCATTACAGCAACCCCAGGTTACTTCAGTACAGCAACTAGAACACTACTGTACCACTTAACGGAATGTTCATCCCAAAATCAATTAACACTAGGTCCAAGGACCCTACCATTTATTTAAATACAGACATGCCCAACAAGTGCTGGTTGACTGTAAACCAAGAGACATCCAGCCCTCAGTTCATTATTAGCTAAATTTGATTGTGGATGGAAAAAACCAAAAAACAACCAAACATTCTATACCTGTGACAATATGTATTTTTTATGTCATCTCCCATCATGGTTGATAGTGTTATTATATACATTTAAGTTTTATATTGTAGAGGATGGAAGTAATCAAATAACTTGAAAAATAATTGAATTCTGTTTAAGTATGGCTTTAAATACTCCTGGGTACATTTTGTATAATTTGTGATAACCACATACAGTTTCAACTTTGATTATGATTGCAGTTTGTAAGAGCTCAAATTTCGCTCTAAAGTCTTTGGTTACAGGCATTTTGGCAAAGTGTTATGTATTCTTTAGCCCTCTTTTTGATCTAAATTCAGTTTGTATTCATTTAGTAGCGGAAAAGGAGAAGAGAAAAACCCCTCAATTTTCTAATTCAAAATTATATTTGAACTGGATTATGACAGTACATATTCTAAAAATAAGTATTTGCGCAGCAGCATCTAGAAGATAGATTGATTAATTTTGGTGTCTTTTTTCTAAGACTTTTTTTATGGCTTATCAAGATTGGGTATAGGTCACATTGACACTGAAACACAGTTCTTTTTATAAATATACCTTATCACTACTTTTCCACAATTTTTTTAAACCAGAGTTTGACACATGCAAAGATACATACTTTGTTCTTTTTTTGAAAAATGTAATAATCTTTGTGCTTTTCTGAAATGGAAAATTTAAATTACCTGTATAATCTAGCCATATCTTTTGTGTCTCCAGAATTTGAATTGATCTTACAATGTCTGCTGCTTTTTTACAAGAGATATTTAAGTAAAATAAAACTTAAGAAAAGGTCATAGAAAGAACTGTGTGCCATCCCGATGACTTAGTTTGAGAGCATCTCTAATAAAAATACTGACCCACATAATTGATTTTAATGGCAGCTTTGTGGCATCTTCCGTTCTCTGGATTCACGCCAGATGCCATCAGCAGAGCCTCCAGGGACTTGGGGGGGGGCATAGAGCAGCAGATGAGTGGTTTCTCTGAAGCCCAGAGTAACTCGGATAGATTAGTTTGGTTGATAAACACAGAGCACAGCAGGCTCCAAAGGCAACTGAGGGTACAACTGACCTTTTTGTTCTCTGTCAGGGTCTAAGGAAAAGCAGTGAATACAGCAGGAACAGAAAGACCATCATCCCCCGCTGTGTGCCCAACATGGTGTGTCTGCACAAGTACATCATCTCTGAGGAGTCGGTATTTCTTGTGTTACAGCATGCGGAAGGTTGGTTTGTAGTTTAAATTGTTTATGAAGTGAAAAATGTCATCCACTTAGCATTTCAATTTATAGAATAATGTCCGTCTTTCTTTTTGTCATTTTGTGAACGGATAAAATTTATGAAACACATGGAAGAAATAGTTTTCATCTTCCTGTGCTCTGCCTCTCTGATCTGAGTTGTGCAGGGGAAAATGATGAACAGCAGCATTCATTTGGACTAAGTACCGTTTCTTAGATTTAGTTAACTGCTTCCCTCCTCTCAGAATTGATGTAGTGTAAGAACATTAATGTGAATGAATAGTAAAGAGTGCTAAGTTTTATTTTGGCGATTTTATTTTGTTTGCTTGGCCTCTGCTAAAAAGATACATTAATGTTAGATGACTAAAATGAAAAGGCATCCCCTGAAGAATTAATTATCTCCTTTTTTAGAAGGCAAGAGTGTATGCTTAACATTTGTTAACATTTGACTTTACCTAGTTATTCTGATGTGGGTTTTGACTAATACAGCTGATGGCATCACATATGGTTATAAAACAAAAGCTCAGTACTTTGCCTTCAAACTGTTTATGAAATACCAGCTTTTAGTAGATGGAATAAATAGATGGATGAAAAATACTGTTTTGATTTGTTCTTACCTTTGAATAGGTGTTTTAAATAAATTATCTTTTATTAAGATGGCTGAGTACATATATATAAATCCAAATTCACTCAATAAATACTGGCTTTTAACATTTAAGAGATGTTCTTAAAATAGTGAAATTTTTTTTTTCCTTATTTAGTGAGGATATTACTATTTTACATTCTAGGGGGAAAAAAACCTGTATAATACTTTTACTAATAGGCATAACATTTTAATTTCATGCATTTTTCCCAAGGAAAAGAATCATTGCTTTTTAGAATGAGGTCTCTTATGATAACTAATGCAAGATTTTTTACGGGGGCAATAAAGTATTAATATTGTTTATTGTGAAGTACAGCACAAGGGAACTACAGATGGAGGGAAGACCTCCATATGCAGTATTTAATAGGAAATTCAGAAGGGGCTCCATGGTCTCTCAGGTATTAAGAGAGTTAATTGTGTGTGTGAATTGGATAACTAATTCACCTTTGTTCAGACATTATAGACAGCTTTTATCTGAGGATACCAGTGCATTACAGACATTATTGAATTAGAGGTCATGTCATCTGATAGCAAAATACAGCCACCTCTGGTGTGGAACAAAATAACTTACGTAGTAATAATCCATAATAATTTAGAACAAGGTCAGTAGGATGAATGTAATTATAGTCAATATTCTATTACCCAGTGTGGATTATTCATGTTGGAGATTATCTGTGGTAAATTTCCAATCCTTACTCACCTCTGCTATTCAACAGCTTTTTCTTCTTCTTCTCTCAGTCATACTTTAGCTTCTCTCTTGCTATTTCCTTTCCATCCTTATGCTCCCTAAAGCTGATATTTCAAATAACTTTAATACTGTGGTAACTTTATATAATCTATTTTAAAGCTCACAGTTTTCAAATTTCCCCATGTGTTCGAGGCTTTTTTTTTAACCAGGTCTCTTTCGTTTACTGTTGATCATACTTAACTTTGAGCTGTCATGTGACCATAGAATTTGTCCAGAAGTATTTAAACCTGAGACAAGATGACAGTCTTTTTGGCTATTTGCTTTAGGTATCTACTGCTTAGTTTTAAAGTTTTATAATACAAAAATATTAAATTGCATTATGAGAATTCTGGATTGATTGCATAGTCAGCAAAATTTTTTATTTTAATGAAAGTTTACAGAGACTTTGGATTTCCATTCATTCATTCATTCATTGTTGAACACTTTCCTCCCTGCCTACCCTTCTACCCTAGTTTGTTTTTCTCTTTGAAAAGTAAACACAAAAAAAATAAAAAAAAATTTCATTCCTTGTAATACAATCCCCCCCCCATCCCCCAGTCCACTCTACTGTGCAACTTACATTCTGGACTCTTGTCATGACAAAAATACCTGATCTTATATTCCTCCTAGACAGTTCTTTCCCTCATCTATTTCAATGCAGTATACTTTATTTATCCCCTCTTAGTTTCCCCCAACCCTGATGTCAGTCCCACTTTGAGCGTATACTATGTTTTATGTGGACAAGCAGAATGAAACTGGCCATTTGAAACTCCTACTCATTTTATTGTGGAGATTCAAACAAACAATAAAAGCAAGAGAACATTGGATAAGAAAACTAAAAATGCAGACTTACTTTTGTCAAGTTGGTTTTTATTCAAGGCTACCTTCCAGTGGATTTCTAATGCTGTAAATCTTTAAAAAAGGGGACTACCCATATTTCCTCTCACCGAGCAGTTGATGCATTCAAACCATTAAACTTCTGCTTAGCAGCCAAAAAACAAAACAAAACAAAACACACTCCTCCACCTAGGTTCCTGTATTTAACTTTCGGAAGTTCTTGGGGAACCTATGCCTTTTCTGTGGCGACATTCAAGCAGTTTCACATGACAAACAGATGCAGTCCTGGATGTGCTCATAAGGCTGTGCCAAGAAATCTGTAAGACAGCTACCTGGCCCACTAATGGAAGAGAGCCTTATTTGTTCCTATTCCACAAAATGGTGGTCAACAGAATGTGAAATTATCAAACAGTATTATTAATATCACATGCAAGTAGCACCTTACTGGAGATTATTAAAAAATGGCTGGAATAGCATATTTACAGGGAACTACCATAAAATTGAAGCTGAATTCAGAAGAGGCTATGGAATGAGGGACATCATTGCTCATATCAAATGAGTCTTGGCTAAAAGCAGAGAATACTAGATAGATTTCTATCTATGTTTTATTGACATTTGACTGTGTGGATCATAACAAAGTGTGGCTAACATTGAAAAGAATAGGCATCTCAGAACAACTTAATCATGCTCGTGCAAAACATAAACCTACTCTAAGTTGACTGAACAGAACAAGGAAACACAACATAGTATAAAATCAGAAAATGTGCTCAGGGTATCTTTTTCTCCAGACCGATTCAATCTGTATGCTAAGCAAGTAATTTGAGAAGCTGAACTTTATAGAGAAGAATACGACATCAAGATCAGAAGAAAACACATCAACAACCACATTTTGCAGATCGCATAACCTTGCTTGCTGAAAGTGGAAAAGACTTGAAGCACTTGCTTCAAAAGATCGAAAGCATAGATTACATCTCAATATCAAGAAAACAAAAATCCTTACCCTTGGAATATCATGATGTTGTTATTTTCTGCCATCGAGTTGACTGTGACTCATAGTGACCCGATGAACCTCAGCTCTGAACCCTGCCCTATCCTGTCATCCTCACCATCTCCAATGTACTTGAGCCTGTTATTACAGTCACCATTTAGTCGTTATCTTGTTGAGAGTCTTCCTCTCTTCACCTTCTTCGCCTCCACAGAGCACCCTTGTTTCACTTTGTCCAAGACAGACCTCTTTCTTCCCTTGGCAGCCCAGGGAATATTCTGTACTATTTTCTAGTACCGCAATTCAAAAAGAACATCTATTCTTCTTTCCACCTTTCAGATGCAGAGCAAGTAATTTAGAATCTTGGATCAGATGCACCATAGTCTTTAAACTGATATCATTGCCCTGTGGTACGCTGGAAATGTCCCTGACAGCAGATTTTTCCATTGTGACTCATCTTTTGATTTCTTGACTGTTGGTACCAAGGGTCAATAGGCCCAAACAGGACAGAGGTTATGAGAATTGATCACGATAGGACAGGGTTCTGAGATGTTATTCATAGGATCACTGTGAATAATGATCAACTTAATGACACATAATAAGAACAGCAAGTGACAGAAGGAAAAGATATTATCCTTAAAAGGGAAGCACATTTCTAATAGAGGGATTGATGCTATACTAAGGCAAAACCAAATTGGTAATCTTGAATGAAAAATGAAAGGAAACCATTTAGTTGCAATGTATTAAATGAAGATATGTGTAGTATATGCAATTATTGGAGAAGCAGGTAGGAGCCTTGTTTGGAAGGATAAGGACTTTAGCTTTTATTCCAATTATTTCTGAAAACCAGATCTACATTTCAAGATCACCCTGACCATGGGATGGGAATGGATTATAAGCATAAAAGCAGTTAGAATACTTATGTTTTGGCAGGAGATGAAGAAGGCATGGCTTTCTTGGGGAACTAAGCCAGTTGTATCGAGTCACTTCAGACTCATGGTGCTTTCATATGTATCACATTAGAATTGTGCTCCATGGAGTTTCCAACAGCTGATTCTTCAAAAGTAGATCCTACACTTTTCTTCCAAAGTGCCTCTCGGTCGATTCTAACTTCCAGCTTTGCAGTTAGCAAGGCTGAACATGTTATTGGTTTCCACCACCCAAATATCCCTATAATGCATGTTTTTTTAAGGATAGAGTTAACCTACGCAAGAAAATAGACATGCCTTGGAAAAATTACAGACAGCGTTCCTTCGAGGCAAGGCTGGTGAAAATTCGGCTCTTGTATTTAGGGTGTTTCTAGGAGAGACCATCCCTTGGAAAGGATATTGTGGTGTTAAGAGTTTATTGATTAAAATTTTCAGTCACTTGCTAGTTATACTTTGACTCTGCCATGTAGTTGGGCAGTAATATGTGAATAGGGTATGTTAGCTTACCCGCAAGCAGATTGGCTCATCTCACCATTAAACTGAGCAGATTCACCAGCAGGTTTTGAGAATATCACCACCAGCAAAGAAGCAGAGAATGCAGCACGCCCTTTGGAACCAGAGATTTTTGCACTGACCAGACCTACAGGAGAGCAGTAGCAATTGCAGCTGATCACAAGAGACCTGACATGAGACAGAGCTGACTCTGGGACTTCTGGCCCACGGAACCTGGGATAAGAGCCTTTGCCTAAATTTGTTGGAAGACAGGGAGTGTGGGGAGCATAATTGGCAGAGCTTTATAATGCTGGCCTAAACCCATGAGACTGAAGGCCGAGGTGCCTGTGAGGACATTTCAGAAGTTTTTCTGAC